AGCCCCCCCCCCAACGTTCTGTCCACCGCCTAAGAATGTGCTTATCCTCGATAAGACGGTGTCCAGACCTGTCCTTCAAGATACTTAGATTGCCCTTCCTTTCACCTCCCAGCCGGTGGGTGGTCTGCCAGAATACCTTGTTTGCCGTCTGGAAATACAATTGTGACACCTCACCGAATTTTTCTCAGGAATCGCCACTTTTGCTGCCGCCTTGCGTGCTTCGACATATCACATGCGAGCATAAGGCTCTTTGCTTCCAAGCGACTGACTTGAATGCAGACATCTTGTTTTCATCAGGAAGTTGTTTTCTGACCTCTACGGACCATGTCAACCTGTTTGAGTCCGCAGCATTCAGCAGCAGCCTTGAGTAAGCCGCTTTTAAAAAAACTTCCACTCAGCATCCACTTCAGCCATTATCACTGGGATCAGTCAGGCCGTCGTTCTATATTGCTTGCAGACTTTGCCCTCGAATCTGAAGAAGAAAATATTTCTCATCTGAATCTCTGGTTGGTACTGCTAATACAGCAGAGATGCAAGCATCCATTACAGTGTCGCATGTCAGACCATACGACTGTCAAATCGACCATCGACTTCTGTGCACAAGCTTCCGTGTTTCACGTATACCGATGCACAGTTCGATGCTCGAAAACGATGCTCATAACGAATAGTCGGCATTTTGCACAAAAATGCAGCAGGTTCATGTCGTTATTGATGACGTCACTAGAGCCGTTCTTTCGAATGACATATTTTCACTTTTTATTGCCTCTTTCGACATACGCATTGCAACCGCCCATTAGAATCACTGATTCCGTAATCTGCACTTCCAACAGAGCAACTTGACCTTCCTCCAGGGATGACTCATTTTCTCCTTCCAATCTGGCTGCGCAGGCCTGCAAAAAGGTCAAAGCTTTAGCCTGTTATCGCCTCAGTCGTAGGACTGGTATTCTTCGTCTGACAGGATTCCATTCCAATGATCATGTCAGCCAGATTAAGTTCCATCAGAATACAAACTGCGGCCTGAGCGGGCTCCGATGAGTCGACACTAAAGCAAAATAGCTTCTACCCGCAGAAGTTCAGAAGTTGCATGGCGCTTCGGTGACAAGAGTTCAACTACGTCTGTTAGTACCTTGCGGTCTCATCAACCAGATCCCGCTCTTTTGCTCTGAATGAGAATATAATCCAATTTCCAACGATAAGCTGCCGCTTTCTGTGTCGTTCTCGTGGAGCCTTTCTGACGTGCTGTCTTTCTCTTCCGTTCAAAACGGGCAGCGACTCCGTTGCTGATTGGTATCTCCGTCATTTTGTTGTCGATCCTCTGCAGCCATCACCGTGCTGCTATGCCACCAGCTGCCAGAAGGCACGATTCAGGATCAACAATTTTTCGCAGCCTGCCTCAGTTAATGGCGTTACCAACATTGCACATACGACATTACCTGTTGTCCTAAAATTTCCCCTAAGATGAATGCAGTTCGATCTGAAAGGCATGGATTTATTTGAATGAATTATATGCGGTGTATACCCTACATTGATTATAAAGATTAATGTGCATAAAAATAAGCTAAAGGTCTGACGGAAGTGAGAATTTTTGTGGCAAAACCTAAACATGGAACATCGCTTGTTCCTGAAAACATGGAACATCGCTTGTTCACAACAAACTGAAATGTTTCGAAGGACGAAATACTCCAGGCACTGGAGTATGCAATGAAGTGATTCTGCAAACTATAATTTTAACAACGAATAGGCAGTGACAATCACACAAGTAGATGAATATTCAGATCGACCTTTATTTACTAAATCCACAATAAATTACTTTATCGCTGGTCATCGTTCTCAGCATTGCTTAACATTATTATTTACTTCAACCTCATCGTGATCATCTTTCTGCCTCATCCCACTACTATCGTCCTCCTCATCTTAATCGCTGTATTTAGCTTCTTCATCATTCTCACCATCAACTTGGCTGTCACTATCGCGTACCTCCTCTTTTTTATCATGTTTATTCTTGTAATATTCATAATCATAAACGTTTCCTTTAGTCTGATATCTACATATTCATAATGATCATGTTTATTAACACCTGTATCTCCTTGTTCACCTTCTATGTCGTTCTCTTCATCAATCTCACACTTACAACTGAATTCGACTCTGAATTGATATGATCCTTAGGAGGTACTTGATGGTCGGGAAAATGCAAAAAAAATTAAACAAAAATGTAACTACTTATAAAGTGTCAAGCTCGTCAAACATTTCAGTGAGATTAGCGACCTTGATTCAAGGTCGATTCCGGATCAAGAACGCGATTTCATGAAAATAAACCAAAAAACCGCATATATACCAAGTAGATGTTGCCACACTCTAAGCCTGTACGACGGAGGGACATCGTACTTGAGGGACACCTCACCAAGCATGTCATTGTCGATGACGGGAGACGCGAAGATGCTATCGAGCTTCTTCTCGACGTTGATCGCTTCGAAACCAACCTTCGCATAGTAGCTGCTCCGAAAGCTCATCGGCGGCGTTTCATGCTGCAACAGAGTTGCAAGCTTATTAAACAAGACGAAAAAAAAGCATGCAAAAAGAAACAAAGCCTGATTCGCGCATGAGAACTGACAGACAACGATTTATAAGTTTTATTTCTTTCAAAGCACTAAAGAACTACAGCAAAAAACGACAGGCCAAATTATTCTTTGCTCATGCTAGTTACAATTACATCATAACGCTCACAGCTGAAATTTGTCCCGAACCGAATATGTCGATTAAGGAGGCTTGCAAGGAGATGGTCGACGATGACGAGAATTCTGTTCGAAGGGCAGATTAGGTGGAAAGTCTGCTCTGGTTTTGCCATAACGAAGTTCGATCCGCGAGATGGATTTCAGGGAAGGTTTTAAGGAACTTCGTCGCCGAGCCGGTGGGCGATTCGTTCCAACAGTGACGAACAGTATTTCATCTTAGACACCAGGCGCAACGCCGAGTCAAACTCTTCCAACTCAAAGGCCTGTGAAAGTTGGCGCTCGAATGAGTCCAACAGTTTCTGC